AAAGGGCAGGGAATTTAGCTCAGTGGGGCCACACCACATGCCTCACAAGTGAAAGGATCCCAGTTTGATCCCTGGTACCAAAACAACGACAAAGAGACGACAACAAAAACAAAAAACAGTCACTACCGTTCCCTGCTCCCTCTTTGGGTATAATTTTCAGGAAGGGCTGTCTTCCAACACATGGCAACCTCAGTTACTCACTCACCCCTTCTCGGTAGCGGAAAACTTAATATCAATTCTGGGTGCGGGTTTCTGGTCATTTAGTCACTGACACCCAACCCTTACCACCCCACCTTCCATTCCAGCCAGGATTGGCTAGGTGCACCTATGCCACCTGGTGGTCATTGTGGAAGACACTGTTTGGAAAATAAAATCGATGAAAGGAACAGAGCTCACCTTCTGACACCTATGTGCATGCCTGTGCGTGCACCGTGGGGGGCAGGGGTTGGCCTCTTCCTGCCCACTTTCAGCGCAGAGAGAGGCGCCTCGCGTGGGGTGAAGGGGAGATGGGGCGGGGGGCAGGGCGCCCCCCCTGTTCTTTTGGTGCTCTCTGGATCTTAGGAGCATTTACAAAATTTTTTCTGGGAAGAGAGACGCCTGCCTGCGGGCCAGAGAACCTTCACTCACTCCGTGTTTCTGTGTTTATTTACATCTTTATCTTTCAATTAGTTGTTAGGCTTCCCGCTTTTGGCTTCAGAGAAGAGAGGGAAGAAAACCAGCAGATGTTGTGTTCAAAAGAGAAAATGTCTCTGGGACTCACCGTTTTCTCTTTTCCTTGAAGAGTCATCGCTTAGTGTATGTTTAGGATCACGTGTCCGTCCCATTCTCACCTGTGGTCATTGTCAAACTTATTTAGTTTTTCCCCCTAAGCCCTTATACTATTTTCCAATGGGGCAACTAATGTTTTCCTTGACTGGGCCCTGAAGTATGCCAAAAGCATTAACAAATATGCATCCTGAGCGGGGGATTTGGCTCAGTGGTTCTGCTGCCTGCCTTGCAAGTGCAAGGGCCTGAGTTCAATTCCCAGTACCAGAACAAAGAAAAAAGAATAGATACTGTAGCAAACAGGCATCCTGGATTTGTGAACAAATCCCCACTTCTAGTGCCTCTGGACTAACACAATAGGTGTCGCCTTTATAGGGAGATGATTGGATAAAACTTCAAAATTTTATACAACAGCTACAAAGTACAGCAAAGTTTTCAAGCTTGCAACCAGGTCTAATGTCTCTCAGCAACCAACAAATGAGATTCTTCATCAAAAAAGACCATGGGAAATTTTTTCTCTAGTCACAGTTAATATTAAGATATGGTGTGGTGCCACTGAGCTAAATTCCCGGCCCCTCAGATATGGAAATACAGAGGCCCTGGTTCTGCTGCCTGCCTCAAAAGTGCAAGATCCTGAGTTTGATGATCCCTGGTACCAAAAGAAAAAAGAAAGAAAGAGGAAGAAAGAAATATAGAGGCCCTGATCTACCCCACATTCCTAAAACTCCCATGATGAAAGACAATGATCGGTTTACACAAATATTGTCAGATATGGGATGAACACATTTGGCTGATGTCTACTAGCATTCCCTTGTTGAAAAAAAAAAAACATTTATGATAGAGCAATGCCACCCAAGATATGGGGTGGATTCCTACCCAGGGCTGTAATCACATTGTTGTGTGGAGACACTGACTTCTTTGCTACTGACTGGAGTAGAAGAGCTGGAATAAGATGGTCATCCCCTAACAGTGCTCAATGGCTCTGTGGTAGAAACCTATGACCTTGGTTGCCTCCAGGGCAATGGGAAGATGTATATTAGGATTTCAATGGGTCCGAGGGTGCTGGGTTAAAGCCATAGATCAACCAGCTAACTCCCAAGTCTTGAGACATCGATGGACCAGGTCAGTTTTCCGCTGCTATGATCATCTGGCTGATACCTTTAATCTCCAGATAGGACTTGAGGCTGTAATGCGGCACATTACTAACTGTACACAGAGAGCTCTAAATGACACTTCAGAGAGTATTTCATTATTAAATTAGTAGAAGTAAAAATGATGAGAAAAGCCATTCTACAAAACAGAACAGCCCTAGATATTCTAACCGTAGCACAAGGCAGAAACTGCACCATTTTCCAAACAGAATACCGTTTATGTTCCTCACAGCCCTGTAAATGTGTCCTCTGCATTACATGATCTACGTTCACAAGTCATTGCAATGTCACACTGCAATAATTAATGACTGACTGTGGTACCAGGTTCTCTGGAACAACCTGATGGAAAAAAAGTCCTCATTTTTGTGGCTAGGATACTAGCATTAGGATTCTTGTCTGTTGCATGACTCGCTATTGTTATGAGCTAGTATCTCATAAGCCTTCATTTACAGACTATTGAAAGATGATGCTTTTTCAAAAGACAGAACCCTAGGAATTTGGCTCAGTGGTTCTGGCGCCTGCCTCATAAGCACAAGGACCCAAGTTCCATTCCCGGTACCAAAAACAAAAAATAAATCAGAAGACAGAACCCAATATTCCTACAGCTCCTTTAGATCAGTCAGGATGAGACTTTTGGTCCTGGCCAGGCAGGATCAGCACCTCTCCTCAACCTGAAGTACTCACTGAAGAGGGAATATCGGCCTTCTGCAATCCCTTAAGAATAAGAGACTGAAGACTTGGGGGTGTCTGGGTGAGGTGGGATAGAAGAAATAAAATCAGGTACAAAAGAGACCAGGAAATTGAGAATATTAAAAATGCACTTTTAAAGAAAATCTGCAGCTTCAACACAAGCCCAATTTATTTATTTTTCCCTTCTCCCAAAACAGCAAAGCTGAGCAAGCTCCTTTCAGCTACACATGGGTCTGCTCATTCACCTTTCACCTGAAAACTGCCTTTTCCTCAGCTTTCTCCAGCCAGAAAGCAGCAGTAATGGAGACAACCTGTCTGACTCTGCTGCAGGCAGAGCAGACCCAGCCCCGAACACCAGGCTGGGGGCTCGGGAGGATAGGGGCTCAGGGTTCGGGGCCTGAGCTGAGCAAGCTCCTTTCAGCTACACATGGGTCTGCTCATTCACCTTTCACCTGAAAACTGCCTTTTCCTCAGCTTTCTCCAGCCAGAAAGCAGCAGTAATGGAGACAACCTGTCTGACTCTGCTGCAGGCAGAGCAGACCCAGCCCCGAACACCAGGCTGGGGGCTCGGGAGGATAGGGGCTCAGGGTTCGGGGCCTGTGGGAAGGAGACAGCTGCCTACCTCCCCCTCTTACCCACCGCAGCTCCACAGCCCAGAGGGAAGAAACTGAGTCAAAGGAGAGCAGGCGGGGCTCACGGCTCAGGGCAGCGGTCAGGCGGAGTCAGGCCCTAACCTGCGTCCTCTGGGAAGAACTGAAGGCCGCCTCAGCTCCGCTTCAAAGAGAGGAAGGTGAGGAGGGAAGGAGCCCGGGTTGGCAGCCGTGCACCCTCCCGGGTGAGAGCCCGCCAGGCCCTCTGGATAGAAGTCAAGGGCTCCAGGTTAGATCAGATGGAGGGGTGACGCTGGACCATCCCCCTCTTCCCAGCACGCACCCCTGCCCCAGGCCTGCGCCTCCCACCCAAGGCTCCCAGAGGCTGTAGAGGTGGGGGCTGCAGGCCGCGGAGGGCTGGGGCAGAGGGAAGGCAGAGGGCGAAGGACTCTCCTGCCTGCTGGCAGCACTGGCTCTGGAGTGCGTCCCGGACAACAGGCAACAGCAGCGCGCGTGGGATGGGCCTCCCACCTCTGCGCCCGACTCCCTGGGGTTGGGCAGCCTCCTTCCCGCCTCACCTTCCTGGTACCTTTCCCTCCATCCCGCGGGGACGCTGCCAAGGCTCCAACTTCCTTGGAGGGCGGGATGCCCAGCAGCTGCGGGGACAGGAGCCACGGGGCTGCGAGGGGCTTCCGGGCAGAAAGGGCCTGAGTGGGAGAAGCGGGGCCCAGAGTCACCGGCGGGACCCCGTGGTGGGGGCAGAGCAGCAGGATCGGGGC